CATCCTTTGAGCTACAAATGTCAAATCATACACTGGAGTATTAGTCTCCATTATACTACAAATCATAAGTATTTATCTTATGAAGTTCTCATTCTATTAAATTAATAAGGTTGTTCAATATCAAAGTTACGGACACCCCGTATAACTTACCATTCTTCAAGCAACAAGAAGTAAACTTATGTCTTGAAATTAACTCCTAGTACAAATTTCTCTCACATCACCTGAGATGGAATTGAAATTTTTCAAAATTCAAAATCAAGTTCCAAACTTAAAGAGTATTCTTAATAAAGCAAAGTATCACAATAACAAAAAGTACAATTAAACAGTAATGTACTTACTGAAATTCTATCTATTTCTCTATGTATCAAAGATAATTATAGGAATTTTTAGAACAAGATCACCCTTTTAATTTTTTTTTGCTCAAAAGAAAATAATAAAGAAATCTTAAGCCATCTCCACAAGATAATCCTTTCATCCTTGAAATCATTATTGTAGCCCTTCTCTGATACTTTTCCAATAAGTTAGCATCTTTTCTTTGATAAAAAGACCAATGCTGCATACAGTATTCCAAGAATCATAACTAGTAATTTGTATAGAGATAATTTCTACTCTTTACTAATAACTAACATATATCCTAAATACATGTTATCAGATATACTATTAGCAACAAAGCACTGCCTCGATGGTTTAAGTGATGTCTGTACCATATGACAAAACCCCTTTCCTCAGTTACACTGTTCATTGGGTTCCTGTCTAAATTACTCATGTGATCCACATTATAAAAACCAAAAGGGATTACAATTCATTCACCAGAAAGTGCACTAGCACATGATGTAAGTATGGCATAGATGCCTGTATTAAAGCAATACAAAAATCATCTGAATTTTTCTTCTCTACAGGTCATCAGAAGCTAGATATGAAGAGCTATCTGGCATAGTCATTCTATTTCCAGTGTATATGCTGCTTTTCAGCTATCCAGAGCATCTCAAAGTCAAAAACTGAGATTTCTTATTTTCGTTCATCATCATATTTATTCAACAGGCTTAGTGCCTTCCTAGTTCTAGCAGTAACTATAATTTTATCTTCATTTGATAGAGCAAAACAGTCGTCACGAACTTTGACAACCTCTTTTATTATTATTCTATGCAAAATTTATAAAGCTTTAGAATACACTCTATAACCTAGTAACCCACATGTGCCATCTTTTAAAAAAGTAAACAAACATGTCTTAGGAAAAACATTTATCACTAAATATAAAAGCTATATTGGGCAGGCTACTGAATTTGAAAAAAGGAACCAAACAAGATAGGTATGGAAGTGGACATATCACTTTATCTGGTTAACGATCACATAGCAGACTAAGCCATCTCTAGTTTAAACTGAGAATAAAATTCCTACGTTACTGTAATGTAGGGATTTTATTCTCCATGTAAAGTCAAGACATCTTTGTCTTCTATGTCTATCAAGTGATCTGTCCACTTCCATCCCTATCTTGTTTGGTTCCTTTTTTTCTAGATCAGAAGCCAGCCCTATATAGCTTTTTTATTTGGCAATAAATGTTTTCCTAATACTTGTTATACTTTAAAAGTGATTTATATATCCAACTTACGAATTAATCTAAGTTATTTAAAAGTACATCAACACTGTAATATTGTTAGAAATACAAACAATTTAATGTCATCAGCAAGCTTTACAAATGTATTAATTATACACTATTCTACTCATAAAGTAAAAAAACAAATGGATTGACCCCCTGAAACATGCCACTAGTGTGATTTTCTTAGCTAAATTTGTCTGTGGAATCTCATCAAAACCTATTTGAAAATCTAAGTACACCAAATTCACCCTTTATTCCATCATGTAAATGACAATTTCATAATGTGTAGAAAACACTCAGTAATCACTCAAACACACCTCTCTCCCTCCATACAATCCCAATCAACATGCTTAAAAAGTCTTTCATAATTATTGCATCATTATCTATTAGTGGCAACACTGATCAAATTATACATCTTCTTATTAACAATCTCTTATTGTCAGGTGGTCTGTAAGCTACATTTGCCAATTCAACACTTTGTACCCTTGAAACTCCTGATTTTAAACCACATAGATTCAACTTCTTGACTTTCATTATTATGTCTTCAGTCCTAACCTATTTTAAAAACTATATCATTATTTAAGTAATTTATAACCAGAAATCTCAAAATACTTTTCATTATCAATACCTTCCATGAATAACCACAATTCAGTACGTTCCACATATACATCTAAATTAAATCCATAACATCAGAAAATAAATTTTAAAAGATGAATAGAGGTAAAAAAATTTTAAGTTGATATTAAGAACAAATATTGCATCTATGTCATATTAAAGTGCTAAGTACACATAAAGGTTTAAGTATATATGCAAATATATATATATAAGCTAACAATTTCAATAAGAATAATGATATATACAGAAAGTGGGGAAGCAGTCAGCACCACAGATCAATAAAATACTTTTTTACCATATCTATTACCAAAAAAAAGGAGGAAACATAAGATAATCATATAAATAATGTCAAAAAAGAAATTTTGTTACATTTTAACACTAGTGGTGGTTATTTTTAGTATATATGTATAATATATATATATATATACACGTGCGTGTGTGTTATTTTGTTTCCTTTTTTAATAAGTTATATTGAGTGTGCGTGTATATATATATATATATATTTATACACTAACTTTAAATTAATA